GTCAAGAGTCAATGCCTGGTTCCCTCCATGTTTCCCCCCAAAACCAAGATGGAAGCTTCTGAATCCGGCGGATTCACAGCATTCAGCGTCGCACGATTCATGCGGCATGCATCCGCCGTCCTCAAGGACCTCCACCAAAGACTCCAACAAGAGGTCGTAGCCCTTCTGGGAGTCCAAGCGCCCGATGAAGCCTGACGCCGGCTCGGCTGTGCCAATGGGGGCCGGATGAGGAATTCAAGGCAAAACTTCCTGAAACCCAATGTGTCTTGGCTCTTGTTGTATGTTTTTCCGTTTTTGGCCGTCCCAGGTGCACATCAGCGGGCCAGTGCAGCCAGTCAAGCCATTCTGTGCACGATAGTTGGTCTTGAGCTCAGTCTTGGCAATATCGCAGTTGGTCGAGTTGTAGGGGCCGCAGGTCATCATGGTCTTCGTGACAAAGTTCCTCAAGACGTGGCAGGCAAGCAAGTGATCGCACATCTAATGAACTAACTCCAAGAGGACGCCTCAATCTTAAAGAATCTTGACAAGGCGCTTGTCACTGGGAGACACACCCTCCTTGACACCGTTGAGAATGCCTGGTCGAAGCCAGTGGAAATGCTATCCACATCAGACTCAATTTACCGCAATCTACTCAGCTGCGAAGCAAGAAGACAAACGAGTTACGTTCCCGAAAGAACACTCTTGGGATCTAAGCTTTGCAAGAATGGAAACAAAAAATAGGACCCAGTGTGCGCTCCTGTGCATTTGCCCAACTTGAAGAGAGACTCCAACTCGACACCCTTCTCGGGATCAGTGCAGCACTCGACAGCGTAGGAAGGGGACACCGTCAGGGCACGGTCGCAGTAGCGCAAGCCAGCAGCCATGGTGTTCACACAGGAGACCTTTCAACTCAGCTGAAGGCATTTCTATTGCTCTGGCCGACAGTTGAAGGCAACAAAGAGCAATTATTGCATGATGCCACCAATGTCACCTACCTATCTACCTTGTTTTAGAATGCTTGACTTCATGCTGTCCAATTGAAAGGTCAGTGAAATTCCTCTATGCGCCTTCTCGTTGTACTTGCCGATTCGAAGCGGCATCCTGAGCAAAAGCGCCATCACAAAATGACAAGTTATGCGCTTGGAGATGCTTGAAAGATGAAACATCGAATGTCAGAAACAGCTCATCCCACCTGCTCATCCATGAATCTTCAGAGTCTCGCTAAATGTCAGCTTAACATAGCTTAACCAGAACTTGGAACCAAACATGACTGTATGGAAGTTTGCCCCTCCCATTCTCTGCAGGTATGTTATTTTGTAAGTATATGATATATTGTGCATTCCTCCCACGCAGTCAGTTGTGCAGCCGAATGTCTTAAAGGTGATGCTGTCAATGTAACGCTCTGGCACACCAAAGATCTTTGCCAAGCCATCCTGCACAAAGGGCAAGAAGTGGACGTGTGACGTGTGCATGTTTGATCAGTAGCTGAAATCCGGCTGCAAAAACGATTGATTCGGTTTGAATCACCTTTCCGAAAAGGAGTGAAGTACGCAGGAATGCCCACTTAAGCAATTCTTCAGTACCTTTCAGACATGTTTTGCATATGTAGGTCAAGTCATTGAGAACGTGTATGCAAAGATACAATATACATATACATAAATCATAAATCCCTATTGGCCTTTCCGCTTTCCAGTTGCCCAACCCCTCCTCGCACATAAAGCGACCCTGGAAGACTGCATTGTGGCAAAGGAACGCGGTCTTGGTGTTTTGCCACTTGCCTTCGGAATTGTGGTCCCTTTGGAACTGCACAATATTGATTATGTATTTGTATAATGTGCATGTATAGAGAGAGAGAGAGAGGGAGATTTACAAATAGGTTACATAATTACATGGCCATCTGAACCTGGCTTAAAGCTTGCAATAAACCAGATGTAAAGCTTCAGTAACTTCACTACCTCACAAGGACATTGAGAAAGCTATCAAGCTGATGGCTGGGGTCCAAGCACTGCGAGATTGCCTGATGCGTTGAAAAATCGAAATCAGACCTGCCTGCAGTTGTCTTCTCTGCATGGATGAGCATGGGCACCAGCGCACTGTGCCAGTCATTGCAGACCACCATGCAGTCGCTGCCATAGCTTGAGCCACCCAAAGGCAGCTCCTCGCGGAATGCAATCAACTTCTTCCCTCCAACAAGAACTTTAGCCTCTCACTAGATTCTTCAGTGTAGGCACAGCTAAGTACATGACATGAAGTGGGCTTCCTACGAACGAACGCACGTACTGTGCATCAGTCATCCAGCGCCTGGATGGCTTTCAAGGCTGCTTTGCAAAAGTAGGCGAAGCGGGCCTGGTTGTCCGCGAAATCTTTTCCCCACTCAGGACCATAGAGCTTGGAGCCCGTCTGGCCGTTCACACGCTCCAAGAAGGTGGGGTGATCAACGAAAACGTAGTCCACCTTCTGCTTGTAGGTATGGAAAAAGTGCACAGATTCCTCCTTTCCACCCATGGTCACCTTGCTCCAGTAGCCAGTGTCCCAGGCCTCCGCATACTGGTCATAGCGTGGGGAAATGGCCATGCAACGATGGCCCAAGGCAGCCAAGGCAATGGGCAGTCCATCCATGGCCTCTCCCAAACCACCAGTCTTCGAGAAAGGTGCAACTTCGCCAGTGACAAAGACCAGCTGGTACTTCTTGGAGATGGTGGTCACCGGCTTGCCGTTCACCATTTGCATTGCTGGGCGGCCTTCTGCCATGGCACGACCCATAGCAACAGCTGGAGGACCAGCCTTTGGTACTTCTCCGTTGACCGCTCCTGCAGCAGACTTGGCATAAGCTCGGGCAGGGCCCACAGTGCTGGTGGCGTAGGCAGAGGTTCCAACCTGCGACGCTGGCACAGGCTGGCCGCTCACGATGTTCAGTACACTGGTGGGGGCTGCTCCCATGGTGTCCTTTGGCAAAGGCCTGCTGGACATGGCGGCCATCTTAGCCTTGGCCTTTGGCTTAGCCTGAGGCTCTGCTTTTGCTCCAACACCCTTGGCCAGCGCAGAACCAGTGGCTGTGATGCGTTCTGCAGCAGTCACAGGCTTCCTACCTTCCTCCACGACAGCTGCAGCGGAGGTTGGTGGCACTGGGGCAGACTTGGCCTTGGGCGCTGCGCCTGCGCCGCCTGCGCTGGCAACTGCGCTTGCGCCTGCAGTCGCCCCTGGACTGGCTCCAGCACTTGCAGGACTCAGGGTGTTCATACCCTTGGCACCGGCTCCGCTTGCCATTGTAGAGGCCTTGCTGACAGGTGCCGATGCTGCAGCTGTGCCTGCCTGCGGGGTGGTTGTAGCCTGCTTCTTCTGCTCCTCTGCCTTTGGAGCCTCATCACGAGACTTGGCCTGTGCAGACACTTCAGCAGGCTTCGCCACTGGAACAACGGCCGGAGCCTGTGCAGGAGTGGTGGGCTTGGGAGCCGACATGATTACTGACTATTGACGTTGGGCGGCTTTAGTTGCTTGAGAGACACTGGCCACGGTGGTTGAGAGAGTCAAGGTCCTCAGTCCCTGCAAGGTTCACAAGCCAGTGACGGGTCCTGGGCCTTTTCTTTTTGTAACACTGCCTGCTTTGACCAATTTGAAACATGAGTTGTTGCTCCACGCATCTTTGCACAGAAATCTTCTCTAGCAATCGGAACAATAATGATTCAAGAGGGCAAAGGCGTGGAGGCTTCTAATTGACGAAAAAATTGGATTTTGCCAAGCCCAGGAAAGCTCTAAACTTTCCCAACTTGCAACACTGGATCCCTCACATGTAGAAGGCAAGTCCAGGTGCACGTGTTTTTCGGCAGTCCAGTAGCACTTGAAGCACAAGACTGCGAAAATAAAAAGACTCGATTGATGCGCCTTGTCGCGCTTCTGGTGCTCCTCTCGTAAACTTGTATGATTGAATACTTACGTAACACATCACATCTGATGTCCAAACTTAACACATGGATCTGCAGTCGCAGAAAAGCATTGACGCTACAAGTCAGGAGAAGAAGCACAGTCTGAGACCTTGGAAAAGAAGTCAAAAGAATCAACATTGTGTCATCTCGATCTGCCTGCTGTGTCGTGGAAAACAAGAGGTGGTCTAGCAGCCGACACCAACAAGGCCCGCGGTCGGCCATTCTCAACACGATGGATGGTGCATGATGCTAGAAAAATCCGTATACCGTGCTGGAAATAGTCTCATGTATAGGAACCCGATTTAGTCGTGGGTGTCAGACAGCTTTAGATCACCAAACAGCATGCCATCAGGAACTTAGCAAACTTGCTTGTCAGTCTCCAGTGTCACGGTGGCAGTCTTGCCTGAGCAACTCAAGACTGAGGCTGAAAGGGACGGTGGAAGTGAAGATTGAAAGCTCTGTACAGTGGTTTCAGAGAAGATGGCACAAACCCTTATATAAATGTCTCTTAGATGGAGGTCTATACAAACCACCTTTTGGGGATTGTGCCATCTACTTTCCTTTCACCGTAAAGGTACATTGTGTTCAGATTCCATGTTTATCTTCGGGAAGGTATCTTGGACGGTTTCCTCACCCTGCCAGTGGATTTTTTGATGTTGAATTGCCCAATCCACCGCATGCGATCATTAAAGGTGGTGGATGCCATGTGCATATCGCGGTCCTCTTGACCTTGAGGTTAGACTCTGTCTGCTGGACAGGAGTGTAAGCAACCCTATTCCCTAATCCGCTGGACCATGGAACAGTGACCAATGAAATACCCAAGTCTCGCAGTCACTGACTGATTCAACCTACAGGGGACCCCAAAAAAAGGCTAAAGCACTTGGTTGATGGAATCAAGACACATTTCAGACCACCGCATCTTCTCCGGATCATCGATCGGTTCTTTTTCCTCTTTCCCGGCCTCCGAGGACATCCTTCACGCCCAACTCCTGGAAGATGGCCTCGTACTGCAGCGCCGCGTTGCTCCAGGTGAACTCCGCAGCGGCAGCCATGGCCGCCTGCTTCATCTTCACCACCTGAAGGGCGGGAACAACTGAGAGATCCATGAAGAGCAACGGCTGAGCATTTTACAAGGAAGAACGACAGATGGATTTCGGCGCGGATCAGCAATATCCCACCACTTGTGTGACTAAATAATACTAAATGTGCCTCCCCTGCCACGAGGCAAAATGGATCCGCACTGAGCTCCACTGGTTGGTTTTCCGACAATGCTCAAACCCAAGACATGCAAAACAAGCAATGTGGGGTCTGCCTTCAAAATCAAGAGCCAGAGAAACCTCAGATTCTCTTCACTTTTGTTTGTAGATTTGTGTACCCCATCCATGTTTAAGCCATGGTGATTACACTCCGACTCACTCCAAAACCCACCAAAACCCCCCATTTCGTGTGCTCCTCGGCTTTCATGGCGCACCTTGGCCGGTTCCTCCGTGAAGAGCTTCGCCGCGCGCCGCAGCGCCTGGGAGATGGCGCTCACTGACTCCTGATGGCGCGCTCACTCGCGGGCGGTGAGGTGGTTCCGTTTTGGGCGTTTTCGCCCAACATGTTGGCGTCAAAAATGGAAGGTGAAGGAGGTGAGAACTGGATGAGTCTTGCGACCCTTTTCAGATCGATTCTTCAGTCGCTGCTGAGTGGAGTGCGAACCTTTTCCAAGGATGGCACAAGGGAGCTGACTCAACCCAGGAACCATATTGGAACACCAACCGAGCGATCTAGCCGTCGGCGGTGTCGTTGGAAAGAAGAAACCAAGGAGACGACATTCGTTTGGACGACCTTCTGTTCCAAGAGCTTGCTCATGAACGGAGCACCACCATGGCTTGTTTGTTGTTGTACTTGTCCGGCTTCAGTTGTGAGCAGCGCTCAAAGAGATAGGACAGTTATTTATAGGAGATGTGGGAGATGGAAGTGGAGAGATGTAGCCAGACATCTAGTGCAGGGAACAAGCACCGAAGAAATGTCAAGAACCAAGTCTACTCACAACAATCTTGGGAACATCCCTCATGTGAGGACTCATCCAAATAGCAGAGCTTCAAATGGCGCTCAAAGGGTTTATGCATGTTTATGCCACAATGACTTGGAGACAAACAACCATCACCGTCCTCCACCTCCGCTCCGTCATGGACAGGCTATACTGTACTACCCACAAAACCAAGTGATCCTCCTCCATGTCATACACACATTGGACGTCCCACCAACGATCATCCAAGTGGATGCAGTGAGAACAAGAGGACTTTCCTCTACAAATCGTGGGGCGACGGAGGGTCCACGTCCATGATTGCTGGACCAGAGTGTAAACGTCCTTAGGTTACGGGTACTTCCTCTCGAGAGTGTCATCCCGCCTCTTCGATCACTGCTTCCACGGTCATCTCCTTCTCGGTCCAAAGGCCATTCACACCATCCTGGAGGACATGTCGTTGGAGTCATTTTGGTCGACTAGGAAACAACAGATTTCATTGAACATGTTCAGTCTGCATGCTTTGCTTGTGGTTGGTCATACTCATTTCTGCGGAGTTCAGGTTGATCCTTCGCTTACAATACATACCTAAGGGTGATACCGCGACATCTTGTGGGCGCTGGGAGGCCTCATGACCAGACTGCATGGAGGCACATGGTAGCTTGTTCTGGGATACTCCGGGGGAAGTCTTGAAAATGTGTGGGCTCTACTTCCACAAACATAGACGCAAACTCAATCAAACTCCCAAGGACTTCCTCCATCAAAAAGGGCGTTCTGGATTGCCCCTCACCCAATGTCGCCCACATATTGCCCCCCCCACACACACATCCATCTGGGAACTCTGCCCCCCCCAGAGCTCCAGCAAGCAGCACATACGCACATGCCCCCACACATCTCTCCTCCACAGTGTCTTTGAGACCACCGGTGGGTGCCACAATCGGCAAGGTGCCCAATCGCATGGCTTCCATCTGCACCAGGCCGCAAGGTTCCCACCTGGCGCTTAGGGAACGCACTCGCTGCGCAGCCGATGGAGTGTTTGGGCCCGGTTTGATGCAAAGAAACGGGGAAGGGAGCTAAAAGGGGAAAAACTGCAACACACACAGGGGAGAAATGGTGAACAAAATTTCCTGGCAATGGATTCTGTCCCGCACATCTCAGCCTGGAAGGCAAGAGAGTGTAGTCGCAGCCTGCCAGGAGAGCATAACGCTCAGGTCCCATCCAGCCAGCGTAAAAGAACTTGTCAGGGAACTTCTTCTCCACTGCCTGGCGAGTGCTCTCCACTCTTTGGGTGATTGGGATTGGGAATCCTTGGGGAGAAGAAAAGCTCTTCTCTCATTTCTCTCTAAATGAATTTCTTGCCATTGATGTTGTTGGCCAATGATTCGACTAGTGTCAACTTGCAAAGAAGCATTCTCCTGAACGTGAAAAAAGGATCGGTGTCGGCGACACGGGCAGCACCTTGGTCTGCGCCACCAGATCAGCACGACCTGCTCCCACAATGACCACCTGCATCTCCGTGTCCTGATGTGGCTTGCAACTCACAGTTCAGTCAGCTGAAGGGGCTTGCAATGTGAAGCTTCTTTTCCAAAAAAAGGCAGGTGTCAGTCAAGAGTCAATGCCTGGTTCCCTCCATGTTTCCCCCCAAAACCAAGATGGAAGCTTCTGAATCCGGCGGATTCACAGCATTCAGCGTCGCACGATTCATGCGGCATGCATCCGCCGTCCTCAAGGACCTCCACCAAAGACTCCAACAAGAGGTCGTAGCCCTTCTGGGAGTCCAAGCGCCCGATGAAGCCTGACGCCGGCTCGGCTGTGCCAATGGGGGCCGGATGAGGAATTCAAGGCAAAACTTCCTGAAACCCAATGTGTCTTGGCTCTTGTTGTATGTTTTTCCGTTTTTGGCCGTCCCAGGTGCACATCAGCGGGCCAGTGCAGCCAGTCAAGCCATTCTGTGCACGATAGTTGGTCTTGAGCTCAGTCTTGGCAATATCGCAGTTGGTCGAGTTGTAGGGGCCGCAGGTCATCATGGTCTTCGTGACAAAGTTCCTCAAGACGTGGCAGGCAAGCAAGTGATCGCACATCTAATGAACTAACTCCAAGAGGACGCCTCAATCTTAAAGAATCTTGACAAGGCGCTTGTCACTGGGAGACACACCCTCCTTGACACCGTTGAGAATGCCTGGTCGAAGCCAGTGGAAATGCTATCCACATCAGACTCAATTTACCGCAATCTACTCAGCTGCGAAGCAAGAAGACAAACGAGTTACGTTCCCGAAAGAACACTCTTGGGATCTAAG